TAAGTTGAGAGATAACTGATGGTTTCAAACCAGCAGCCCTTGCCATTTTGGCCCATTCGTGGTTTAGTTTTCGGTATTTATTTTTGAATTCCTCCTCAGATGATGGGCGATAAAGCGAAGCATCCTCAAGATGCTTTTTCGTCATCTCCATATCTAACTGATGAGGAATCACGACAAACTCTCCACCCTTATCACTAACGGAAAGTCTTATGGTTTTCAACCTTATCAGGTCTCGTACCTCTCGCATACCACGTTTTTGCACTGGAGTGAGGTTGGAGCTGTATCTTTTCGCGCGATAGTGATTAAGGAGTTTGAGAGTTTCATTCGCAAACATCCGAAATTTAACATCAACTTCATTATTGGGCTCTTGCTGTCTAAAAAACGTTGGAGGAAATGGTGCTATTGGTAGGGCCCCCACTTGACGTTGTTCGCACCTATTTAACGCTTCATCTCTAGCTTTTTTGCGGAGTCTATCTTGAAGTTCATGTAAACCACATGCGACCCTACGCAAGGTTATCTTAGAAATGGGTTCAGATGGTGAGACCTTAGTGGAGACCTCATAGAAAGCGGTGAGTGTGCAGAACTGTGTTCAAAGTGATTGAAATCTTGGTTTTGAGTTTCTTTGTTTGGTTATGGTGGCGTCTGGCCGAGTGAGTTGCTATCAACTTGACCTTTCCAGGCTCTGAAGAAGGCGAAATTCGCCGAAACGTCAGCTTAATCGTGAACAAAGAACAATAACACCTCGCGTTTGCTCAAAAAAATACGAACAAAATCACTTGATCAATGCCGAGGTTAATGGAAAGTCGGTCGTGGCAGTTCAAGCACTCTTTTAGGAGAACCATGAGCTGCTGGATGGACAAGCCACGCATATTTATTTCTCCTTCATGTTCAACAAGAAGTTCGAAGATGGCTTGCATTGCAAAGTCATTCGATACGTTGGTGTAAAGCGCGGAAACGTTGAAGGACTACATGACGCATGCATTATTAGGAGACACGTTACGTAGATGTTCTAGGAACATTGGGATATTCGTGAGGTGAGCTGGAATATGCTTAAGCAATTGGGTTAGGATTAGGCTTAGAAACCAGGTTATCCTATCCGTTGCCCGTCTACACAGCTGATAATGAGTCTAACCTTAAATGATGACGGATTGCTTGACGCATGATCATCAGGTGATACCCGATTATGATTGTTCATGATTACATTGTAATCAACGAATAGTTTAGAACCCTTCAGCAGATCGCATGCAAGTGTCGCCTAGTTGTGGATTGCCAATGGAAATTTGTATTCCATAAGCTGCTTGTGAAACCAGAAAAGGAGAATAAGAATGGGTACCTATATAATTGTACAACCTAATGCAAAACAAACAAAAACATATGCACTTCTTTGCTTGTAAATGCTGTACCGAAACAATAAGAAAGTGATTATTGCTGAGATAGAATCGGTCAGAAGACCAACAAAGCTTTACGAAATGTTTGACAGCTCAGATAACAAAGCACCACCTTTCACTCGGGAAAAGTCAACTAATAACATTTTTATGCTGACTAAAGAGCTGAGAATAAAGTACGAACGAAGTGATGAATAAAAGAAAAGTCACAAATCACAATGTGTTTCCTAAACGAATTAGTTGACCGTATTTGCAGTTCTCCTTGGACTACTGCAGAGATTTTCCATAAACTTTTTAATTTTCCACTTCTGAATGAGATCCACCTGAACACAATGTGGCAGAAGGTTGAGAGCGCGCAAACTTGAGAAACAACAAAGAATGGGAAGGTGTTAGTATGCCATATGAAAGAATTTATTCCGACCGACACGATAAAAAATGATGTATAGAATAATCACCTGTATCACCTGTAGCTCCGTTGATCGTCGAGTGACTCAAGCGGGCGCCAGTATATCTACCATTTTCCCTATCGCGTGCAAGAGTAGCCCAGTGGGTACTGCCCAATCTAGGGACTCGTCGAGTGTCATATCTTTCTTCTAGGCTTTTAGGCTTTTCGTGAAGAACTCTGACCATCGAGTCGGTGGTCTTTCTGCAGTACGCTTGACATCCCGAGGAATCGAATCACTAACGGCTCTTGTCCATCGGTTGTCATACGCGTTACCTGTGTACAGAATAATGGAGAAAGAAAATAAGCAATAAATAAATTAAGAAAAATAAACAAGTCTTTTGCATCGTACAGAACAATGTTGGACAGAGAAGGAAGAATGCAACTGTTCTATAATGTAAACTGAAAAAGGAAAAATCAATGCGATGATCTCAACAGATTTATTCCACATGGTCAAACCCGCTGATTTCCCATATCTATTATGAACCCGCCACGGATCTCCCTCATATGAGGGATCTCGAGCCGGTTAGTCGCGAGGTTACGTGGCGCTTCCCCAGGTGGCGGATAGTGGGTTAATCGAGGACTAAAAGTGACCTTTGCTTCCCTAAGACGTAGGTGGATCCAGGGGATGGACTCCCTGTTTCTGCTGCGCTGATTTGGCACACACCTTCTGTATTTGCTAGGCGTATTCATGCATGCATGTGTGGGTGCGTTCTTGCTTATGCGCATTGTATTCTACGAGTCAATTCGGCCAAAAGCCTGCAGTAAAGTGAAGTTAGGAGTCGGGAGGCGGTTAGGAGTCGCCTATGACAAATAAGCTCCATTTACTATAGGAGAGCCTGGCAAGCTACCCGTGAGTATACCCAGTCCCCACGTTCAGAGCCCAACAACCTATACGTGGGTATCAAAAAAAAATGCTAAACACAGTGAAAAGAAGGGGCCCCATTCCCCTGACCTTGAAAGAGCCCCCAATTTTGCAGCGTTGGGTAGGACGAGTACGGAGAGGCTGCTAAAATCCCAGGGTCAATGGAAGCTGTCTGCATTTCAAAGAACTATGATGACGACCTGTACCTACAATGAACGTACACATGCATCCGAATACTCGATAGTAGACTTGCTCATGCAAGCAAGAAGGATAAGGTACGACGTCATCGGCCTGGCCGAGACGAGACGACGCCACCCATTCAACGCCGCCTATAACACCGGAGAAGAACTGTTCCTCGGATCATGCGATAGTAGAGGAGTCGGCGGCGTCGGCTTTCTCGTCAACACGAGCTCGTCCATGAACATCGATTCATTCGAACAACTTCCAACCCGAATCGAACGTTTACGATACGATTTAGAGACGCGAATAAATACAGCCTTCACAATCTTCGTCGTTTACTCGGCGACAGCAAGCTATGACGAAGAAGAAGTTGAAGCGTTCTATATGGACTTGGAGAAGTTCTACAGAGAAGACCATACATTCTTCAAGGTCATCGTTGGAGATTTCAACGCCAAGATTGGACCAAGAAGAACGTCGCATTGGGACCCACGGATTAGAGTGAAACGTATAGGGTGACCCGCTTTTTGAGTTTATCATGACGACCAAGACCATCCATGGTGACTCGTTATTCCAGAACCCCCACCCTCGGCGCTGGACGTGGGAGTCTCCCAATGGAGAGTACCATAACGAAATAGACCACATCATAGTAAATAGGTTTTCCCAAACCGATGTCGTTGTTGTCCCAAAATTCTACACGGAATCAGACTCTAGATTCTATCTCTCGCGGAAAGTTGAAAAAGCCGCTAAATTCTAAAACTGAAGTCCCAGAACCACCACAAACTGGGACATATTCAATTCATTGGTCGGCTGTTGGGAAGATGTCGTTGTCAAAAACATCGATGAAGAATACGATCGGTTTATTCGACATCTTCACGCTAGCGCTGTGAAAGCAGAGATTTCGAAAGTCACCAAGAGACGTCTGTCTCCAGAAAAACTCGGGCTGATACGCCACGGTGGAATCGCGCGAGCTGCAGGTAATCGCGAACTAACGTCCGAACGTGATGCATACAGGCGATAAAAGAAGATCTTGAAGAGAGAAGGGCAGCCGTATTGGTTGAAGCTGCAGAGGCTGGTAAGAGCATTCGCAAAGCCCACCGAAGCTTCGGCAATTACAAGACCAAAATGATTGCACTCCGACGCCCAGATGGAACAGTTACAACATCCAGAAAGGCAATGGAGAAAATCATTCACAAATACTACTCGGATCTCTTCGATAGCCACGTCCACTTTCCGTCATATGAAATAAAGGAGAATGGGTATGTTGTACCACTAGTTCTCCCATCCGAAATCCGACATGCCATTTCGTCGGTGAAAAATCGAAAAGCGCCAGGTCCGGACAGGATAAGACCAGGTGTTCACCTGACGAACCTTCCGCCAGTCCTCGTAAACACACTGGCTCGGCTCTTCACACATTACCTGTTTGAATCCTAGGTCCCTACTCAGTGGAAGACCAGAAAGACCGTGTTATTGTTCAAGAAGAGTAACCTGAGCGATATCGGCAACTATCGCCCAACCTCCTTACTGTCTGTCGTCTACAAACATTTCACTCGAGTCACCTTAAACAGGATTGACAGAACACTAGACGAAAGATAGGCATGTGAGCAAGCAGGGTTTCGAAAAGGATTTAGTACGATGGAGCACATTCACACGTTAACGAGACTTCTTGAAGTATCGCCAGAGTACAAAAGAGCACTCTGTCTCACTTCCATCGATTTACAGAAAGCCTTTGACTCAATTGAGATACAAGCAGTCATGGAAGCCCTTGATGGTCAGGGAGTCCCTAGTCACTACCTGACGATTCTTCGTTATTCTACAACGACATTAACATTGACGTCAAAAGATAGGTTAGGCAAGGCGATACCATCTCGCCAAAATTATTTACCGCCACACTCCATAACGTCATGCGAACATTGGAATGGCATAATATGGGAGTGAAAATCGATGGTCGGTAGTTACACCATCTTCGCTTTGCCGATGACATCGCTCTTGTAACAACAAACATTAGCCAAGCGGAACGTATGCTTGACGACTCTGATAAAGCCTGTGGAAAGATTGATCTTCGACTAAATCTCAGAAAAACGATGTTCATGAAGAGCGGATTGGTTTCGCATGCCGCATTCACGCTCAATGGAACCTATGTATCTGAATGCTCCAGTTATATCTGTTTAGGTTGGAAAATCAATTTGATGAACGACCTAGTCCCAGAGCAGAAGAAAACGAGCGGATTTGGGAGCTTTAAAGAGAATCGAAGATGCAGTGAAGAGAACGAATAACACCCGATACCTTTTCGACTCAAGCTACTTGCTGCCTTAACGTATGCGTCAGAAACCTGGTCACTGCGTAAGCAGGATAAGAGGTCACTCAGCGTTATCGAACGCGCAGCCGAAGGGACGATGCTAGGAGTATCCCGTTCCACACAAGTAAGAGATGGGATCCGAAGTTCCGATCTGCATCAACGATCAAAAATCAAAGATGCCGTTCTGTACGCCAAACAGCCGAAGATACGGTTGGCCGGACACGTAATGCGTATGAATGACAACCGATGGACAAGAGCCGTTAGTGACTGGATTCCTCGGGATGTCAAACGCACTGCAGGAAGACCACCGACCCGATGGTCAGAGTTCTTCACAAAGAGCCTTGAAGAAAGACATGATGCTCGACGAGTCCCTAGAGCGGGCGGAACCCACTGGGCTACTCTTGCACGCGACAGGGAAAAATGGAAGATTTACTGACGCCCGCTCGAGTCACTCGACGATCAACGGAACTACAGGTGATACAGGTGATACAGGTCAAGGCCGACAGAAACGCTGAGAAGAGGCAACACCCGCCGATAAACCATCACTTGATGCCACTTCACGTCTTCTTTACTTTGATAAATTTCATAATTTATGTTTCGTCGACTAGTCATCGTTAACGGTCTCTTCCATTCATGAGATCACCACGGACAAATTTCACTCCTTACGTTGAATATTGAATTTTAGGTTTTCAATGAAGGTTAGTACGCTCTCATTTACCTGATTCTTTATTTCTATTGCTTTGCATAAAAGGTAAATGAAAAAGCTTTCGGTGTTGATCAATTCCTAATGGATGTGCCATGCAATCGACTTCATTAAATATCGTTGGAGGTGATTGAATGCATATCTGACCTTTACGATGACTCGCGGTGGCCTACCGATGCATCGAGCCAGTGTTGCTATCCTCCCAGACAAGTCTGGTACCAATTTGCTGATCCTGGAGGAATGGAAGGCTTGTTGGGCTGCAGTCATGCAGATAGTCTAAGGCGTTCCTATGTGGACTGAAGGAGCCCATTGAGAAGAGGGTCGAACCAGCACATTGGTTCCTGAACGATTGCATCATTAACCACTCCGCTAAGGCCCTTCACCTGATATGCTAAATACAGATATACAGTTCAGCAAAGAAAGGTGGAAGACGAGTGCAACTGAATATGCGTGGACCATATATAACAACACGAAGTCCATGCTGACTTTCAAAATCACAATATTACTTAAGACATTTAGTCTTAAGAACAAAGCACCACTTTTACAGAACTTTTAAGGCGGTGGAGAATTCTTGGAAAAAAAAGGACGAAAGCTTTTTTGAATAAATTGAATAAGAAACACTGAAAGAGCAATATATCGGATGTAGGAAGGGAATATAATATATAGTGATTATTTTCGACATAATAGCGTATAAGCATCTCGTAGTCTTCTTCAAAATTAGGCACCCAGCCCACTGCCGTACCTTCAGAACCATAAGTGGAAGCCGACTCGCTTGCATCCGCGTTAATTCGGCGCCCCATGTAGGATATTGAAACTCATGTTGGGACGGCTCGATTATATAGGAATACCAAGTAGTTGAGACGATTCGGTCGGAATTTGCTGCTTGCCTTTGTGTAGGCCACGCGGGACTTCTTGTAAATAGCAGTCACAATGCCAGAAACCTAAAACTTGGGTAATTAAACCGTTTATCATAATTATACAACAACTATGGCATAACAATACAACTGTGCAATTAATACAACAATGGTACAAGTAATGAATAGGCGCAGCCTGATTTCTTGTGTTCAGGTTGCTCAAGAGTGAAGAGGTATGACTATAACATATGACTTCGACCACATGAGATCGATGTGAGGAAAGGATATGGTGACTTGGGCAGCATTGCTGTGACCTGAGCTAGTCAGCCGTGGAGCCGTTTATATACCTTTTGGGCTAGGCGGAGTCAGGCTACAATAGGCGGAGTCGGGTTACAGTAGGTGGAGTGGGGTCACAGTAGGTGGAGTCAGGCTACAGTATGCGGAAGGACGGCTGCTGGAAACATTTCACAAGCGTTGCAATCTGATAAGGCGATAGTGAAAGCATAGGACTGTAACTGCAGATGTTTTTCATGAGATAATCGCCAACGAAATGTTAGCCATGTGGTTGTCGGATCGTCATAAGGTCGCCGGAAGCCGTATTCGAAATGTTTGACATAAAGTTTTCAAATCGTCGTGGGAATAAGGTCACCGGGAACAGTATTTGAAATGTTTTACATAGAGAACATTCCAATATTCGTGAAGAATGTTCTCTATAACTCATTTGTAGGTAACGAATACGCCTCGGCATGGACTCACTTTGTCCAAGTTTTTCAAGTTTCTGAGTGTATCGGTAGAATAGGTAGTCTTCGCTAGTGGATAGTGCGAAGAGCAAATAAAAGCAAAATTAACAGCCTTAACCGTTTTATTTAGCGCCTATTCTTTTTTTTAACGGCAGGGTATACACTGGAAATATAACTTTAATGATGCTGAAATATTTGTAAAACCCCGGACCGCAGGTGCCTACTGTGAGGAACGAACGCACTATTGTCCTTTCCGTGAAGTAACGCGCTAACCACCGCACCATGCGGGTCCTTCGTTTCGCCTGTCTCTCAGATAGTTCTATCGATCTTTTGCCATCAGCAATCACTCGTCAGCAGAATTGATCTGGGGAGCCCAAATCCGCAGCGAACCCAGTTAAGCTGAGACTGCAGTTATAATCACAACCTTAACCGTTTTATTTACTGCCTATTCTTTTTTTAACGGTAGGGTATACATTGCGATGGCAAAAGATCGATAAAACCAGCGCTGATAGACAGGCGGAGTGAAGAACCCGCATGGTGTGGTGGTGCAGGCGTTACTCCCCGGAAAGGACAATAGTGCATTTGTTCCCTACCGCATGCACCTGCGGTCCGGAGTTTTGCAAATATCCCAGCATCATTGACAAATTAACTTCGTTTGAATGAGTTTTAAAGCGCACCATGAAGAGTGATTATCAAAGCGCAAAATTCACATCCTCATTCAATAGAATGCGAACGTAACCAATATGTTACTATAGCGCTCTATCCTACAGCCGTAAAAAGTACCATGAAGCAATCAATATCAGCACTTGTAAACGATATTATTTCATCTAGATAGGAGACTATGTCTCTAGAGTATCTACAAAAAAGAACTTTAAATTTCATGTGCTATACAGGGCACTCCTAGCACCGTCCTTTTGATTGCACATTGCATAGCGCTGAGCGATCCTCCATCCTACTTACATAGCGACCAGGCTTCTGACACGTACGTGAAAGCAGGAAAAGTCGTGGAGCCGTGGTGGACACAGAGTAGGTTATTCTTTATTCTTTTCACTACTTCCCCAGCACTCATGAGCACTTCCCAAGCCGTTCGCTTCCTCCTACTCAACTCAGGAGCTATGTCGTCCATCATATTGGCTTAACTATTCAGGTTGACGCACCTGAAAAAATCGGAGATATTCGTTCCGTTCAGGCTGAGTGGAGTAAAAGAAACAAATCCGTTCTTCATAAACATGGTTTTTTATAAGATTCGGTTTGAGAGGCTGTCAAAGACCGATTGTATTCGCAATTTTGGGGAGACAGTATCGCCTCGCCTAACCCCTCTTTTGACACCGATGTATTATCGTTAAAGAATGGTTGTATTTTGCTTGTGAAATTTTTATGCAACTCACGGAGAATCTTTGTGTACTGACTAGAAACGCCCTTGCTGGCGATGGCGATACTTCAAGAAGTCTCGTTAACGTGTGGATGTGTTCCATCGTACTAAATCCTTTTCGAAGCCCTGCTTGCTCATATGACTGTCCTTCGTCTATTGTTCTGTCAATCGTGCTTAGGATGACTCGAGCGAAAAGTTTGTAGACGACAGACAGTAAGCAGATTGGGCCATAGTTGCCGATATCGTGTAGGTCACGCTTCTTGAACAATAACCCGGTCCTGTTGCTTTTCCACTGAGTAGGGACCTTGCATTCAGACAGGTAACGTGTGAAGAGCCGAGCCAGTGTGTTTACGAGGACTGGCGGACGGTTCTTGAGGTGTTCTGGTCTTATCCTGTCCGGACATGGTACTGTTCGATTTTTCTCCGAAGAAATGGCATGTCGGATTTCGGAAGGAGAACCAGTGGGACAACATATGCATCCTCCTTTATTTCATATAACGGAAGGTGGACGTGGATATCGAAGAGATCTGAGTAGTATTCGTGAACGATTTTCTACATTACCTTTCTGGACGCTGTAATTGCTCCCCCTGGGTCCCGGGGTGCAATCATTTTGATCTTGTAATTAACGAAGTTTCGGCGGGCTTTGCGAGTGCTCTTACCAGCCTCTGCAGCTTCAACCATTACTGCTGCTTTTCTCTCTTCAAGATCTTCTTTTACCTCCTCTCTGCACTAGTTTAGAAGTTCGGACGTGAGTTGGCGGCGGACTGTAGCTCGTGCGCTTATACGCTGGCGTATCAGCTCGGGTGTTTCTAGGGACAAATGTCTCTTGAAGACTTTCGAACTCACTAGCGTTAAGACGTTGAATGAGCCGATTGTACAACTCCTCGTCAACGTTGTTAATAATGGGTTCTTCCTGCGAGCTGACTAATAAACTGAGTAAATTCCAATTTATGGTAGCTTCGGGACTTCGCCTTTGTGTTCTTCCATTCTTCAAAAATCTGCAATAATAGCGCTGAAGAAAGTATGGTTATCGTTGTAGAAGTCCTCCAAGCACACACAGAGCGCTTCGACTTCTTCTTCGTTATAGTTTGATGTCAGCGCCTAGACGACGAAGATTGCGAAGGTTAGTATTGATCCACATCTCTTCAGCCGTAAACGTCCAGTCCGAGTTGTCAGCTGTTCGAATAAATAGATGTTTTTGGTCAAACTCATGCTGACGAGAACATCGACACCGCCGAATTGTTTACGGTCTCATTTTCCGAGATACACTTCTTTTCCGGTGTCATAGATGGCGTTGAATGGGTAGCGTCTTCTTGCCTCAGCTAGTCCGATGACATCGTAACTCACCTCCATGGATGACCAGATCCTCTTTAGAGGATCAAAGTAAGTGCACATTGTAGGCAGAAATCGTCACCTTAGTTCTGTGAGATTTAGGCAGCCAAGAATGGCTTTGAGGCTTGACAGCCTCTCAGTCTTTGCCCTACCCAACACTGTCGCATTGGAGGTTCTTTCGGAGTCAGGGAATGACGCCCGTTTTACTATGTTTAAACAATACTTCCATATTTTTTTTATATTTTTCACAAAATTAAATTATTCTCACATGATAATCATATCAACATCAACCGCCCTGTGTAAAAGAGCGTCACCGGGTGAGTATGGCTCATTCGAGGTGTTCAGCTGAGGAAGATCTGGTTCAGAGGAAGACGCCACATCGAGAAGAGGAACAACTGTGGACCATTGACAAGGATCGTCGGCTCTGATGAAGACGAAGACATCGGAACGTTAGCGCAATAAACAACTTATATCAACCTTGTGGAAGCAAACAAATGTGGATTATTGTAGTACCGAGGTTAAATGACGGTCGCTTTCAAAACTACTGTTTTACTCTGTTAAACAATTAATTCTCACGTATAGGTTCTTGAGCTCCAACATGGAGACTGAGCAAACTGGTAGATAGCTTGCCAGTCGCTCGCAGAGTAGATGAGGGGCTTGTTTGTTGGAGATGACTACTAACCGATTCCCATATACTTCCCTGCTACTTGATTGCAGGCTTTTGGCCGAATTTACTCGTAAAAGACAATCCGCACAAACGACGACACACCCGCAAACGCATGTATGAATGCGTCCTAGCAAATACAGAATGTATGTGCCAAGTCGGAGCAGCTGGAACAGGGAGTCCATCTCCTGGATCGATCTGCATTCCAGGGAAGCACAACGTCGCTCTTGATCCGCTATTAAACCCTTATCCACAAGCTGGGGATGCGCCACGTAGCCTCAAAACTAACCGGTATGAGATCCCTCTATGAGCGAGAACCGTGGACTGATTATATTGATAACTTCTGAATACCTGGAAAACATATCGACCAATCCCGAAGTGGACAGAAATTTTGTCTTGCGAATCGATTTTGCACCGTTTTCATGCTGTTTGTTCAAAGATCATCCTTATGAAACTGCATTTGATATGTGTAAAAATGATGCCTATGGGAACAGCAGCAGAATTTTCTGCTTTGACTTTATTATTAAGCAAATACAAATCATAATAGTGGTGATGAAAAACACAATTGAGTGGAATGTATGACAATTCATGTCAATTGATAACAAAGTGTGACTGCCCTGATATGGAAGTGAAATCGAGTTTGAAAATCATAGGCGACAAGAATCAGAACACACTCGCAAATGGTAAAACGTTTTCTGAGGCAAACAAGACATATTTGAACGGCCTTCTTTCCATATTTCTAATCTGTGTAGTTAGAATTGGCTTCATTTATAGCTTAGAAGCAACACGGTCGCGTAACGCTTTCCGTAAAATCTTTCCCGCTGGCGATTTCGGAATCTCGTCGATAAATTCCACACCGCCCTTCAATTGCTTGTAAGGTGAGACTTTTTCTAAAATGAGAACGGTATAAAAAGACTTTGTCACTTTATCCTCCAGCTGAATTGTGTACAATCCAGTTAGTGCTTTAGTAATGGCCAATTCCGATTTTCAATCAACACTCCATTGTGAATGTTATTAGCTGCAACAGAGACAAGATCTGCAGACCTTTGCCCACGATACAGATGTTGTCCTATTCTACCAAGTTAAAAATTTGGAATTCTGGATCCTATGACGTATATTTTTTTCCCTTTATTTTTTCAAGGTTCAAATTGCAACCACGAACATGAGTAGTCGGAATTTGATCCCCAAGCCGCACTCTGATGTTCCGCAGTGTATAGCTCATGCTTGCACATAGAACCTTTGCGCTAGAATTTTTAGAAACTTAAACGCCATAAAATGTTTTCTCAACGAGAATATAAGGAATCAAATACCATAGTCAGCTTTTTCTGAAAGCTTTGGTTCTAAAGATATTTCATTTCGACAAAACGCTAAAATACCTTATGAAAGTAGTGCTGGATAACTAAGAACAATCATCCTACTGAATTTTAAAAGGCCATATTCACTATGCTGAGAATTCATTCCAGTTTCAACACAGCTTCATTACTTCTTTTTCAGCCTCTTATCACTGCGTTTATTGTAATGGTTTCCAGGATCGACTTTCTATTAACCTCGGCATTGGAATATGAATGCGTCGCTTTCTTGTTCAGCAATCACGAGGTTTTTAAACAGTATACATTTATTTCCATAGAGAAACACAATACAATGCAACACTAGCTGGCGTACACTAGTCATCAACCATATGCGACTGTAATCAGCTGTTCTAAACTTCCTCATTGGAAGTCACGAATAAAGCGGCCCTGAAGAAGGCGATACTGCCGAAACGTCAGCTAGTGTTGTATTGTATTGTCTTTCTCTATGGAAGTAAATGTATGCTGTTTAAAAACCTCGTGATTACTGGACAAGAAAACGACTGCGTTTATTCCCCTCATTCTTCGTTGTGAGCCTGTAGATGGTGGAAATATTAAAGTCCTCAGCTTAGATAAAGCTGCTGATGGGTTAGCCCGTTTGCTTTACAGCGTTATTTCACACCCAGCAACACCACATGGCTGCAATCAGAGAGCAAAGATAACACCAGATATGCATTGATTTCAACGCATTCTTTCGGGAAAATAACGACAACCTTCGACCAAATGTCTTGATTTGTTGATTAAAACTTTTTGCTTAGATAAACCCCCCCCCCCTTCCGATTCAGCTCCACGATTCCCTTAACCACTGCTCAACATGGATCTTAGGTGTATATGTAAACATTTAAACCGTTCGAAAACTATAAATTTTCTTAGACTTAGATTTTAAACTTATTTTTTCCAACTCTTAACGAAGGCTATAAAACTGTGAAAAGACTTTGTGGGGGAAGAGAGCAAACCCACTCTAGCGGACCTATTTAGTCTCTTTACTGTTCGCCATACGAGCATCAGGCAACGAAAGCAAGAACAGTATGTTTTATAGGCTACAATACATCAGAATTCTTTGTTGGTAGAGTAGAAAAATCTGGTTGTTGTCGTCAAAAACCTAGAAACTCTAACGACTTCTTTCTAAGCAATGAAGTCCGCTACGAGTTGTTCAAAACTGAAGGACAGGATCATTTTCGACTACGTCTGTATTTACATTAATGCGTACATTCTTTTCAATGATTACGAACTAATCTGTACAAGAGAGGTGTAGCTAAGTTCTCTGAGGATAATATCAAGTTTTCGTTTTGTTTTCTCTTATTAATCGATCTACAGTAAATGACTTCGTAGCGTGTAGCATAGTGGTTGGAAGTGCCCCGCATTACACAACACCTCGTATCGGTCGCCGGTTCCATCGCACGCCCAGGGCTAAGCAAGCCACTTCATCACTTCAGACTCGGCAAATTAGTACCGGAAATACCTAGGACGGAAAACAACTGACTGAATAGATCAAAAGGCACCGTTTTATGAGCAAAATGGGCATCCAACCACCTCTGAGATATTACGAAGACATGGAGCACCCTCAACGAGTGATCAACGCCGAACGCTTCATTTTTTTCGCCTATCAATACCTTTTTCTCCCTTTCAAGAATAATCATCAAAAATCCATGGTTACCTGTTTTCTTTTAAAAAAGAATGACACGCATAAGAGTAAAAAAAAATAAAGTCGGTGTACCTTTAACCCAAAGCTTGACATCCTCTTCAGTCAGATTTTCTGATGCTCTGACGACGAATGCTTTTGGAAGTTCTCCGGCTCTCCTGTCTGGCACTCCGATCACCGCTGCATCCCGAATCAGTGGATGAGTGAGTAGCAGGTCCTCGAGCTCAGCTGGCGCCACCTAAACTCAGATAATTCGGTAGTGTGAAACCACCCAAGAGTGCACAAAGCTCGTGATATTAAAGAACAACTGATGTCAGCTGTTAAGTGGATTTCTGTAAATAAAGTAGCTCGACAGCAGCGTGTTAGTTCCTCATTGAAAACCATATTTCTTAAGCTAAAATTTGATGGACCACTATATTTTCGTTGACGAGTTTATGCGTTGTGTCAGCCATTGAGAAAACTCATTAAAAGAAGGCATAATTGGAAAAAAAGTGAAAGAAACCTGTAACCCTTTCACTTTGATTAGTTCTTTGAGTCGGTCGACGATGAAAAGATTACGGTACTCGTCGACATATCCGATGTCACCTGAACTGATGAAAAGTCCTTCTATCTCTTCCATTTACTATGAAAGGCTAAGAATTAATAAAAAAAAAAAAGTAAGGCTCTCGACGTTGATCAATCCCTGAGGGATGCACCATGCAGTCGACTTCATTAATCATCGTTTAGAGGTAATTGAATGCATATCTGGCATTTACAATGACTCTCGGTGGCTACCGATGTATCGAGCCAGTGCTGCTATCCTTCCAGACAAGTTTGGTACTTATTTGCCGATCCAGGAGGGATAGAAGGCTTGGTAGGCCATGGGCGCGGGGATCGATTACATGTGTGCGTCCCAGGGCGCCTCCGACCACACCGCTCTACTAATACTAATACTGCACCGACGAGAAGGAACACTAAAATTAAATACGAATTAAAGAGATATGTGACAAAGTATTTACAGGTGTGCAGCATAATGCTTGGAGGAGCAATCTGCAATGCACATAGGGTAATCACTTCAACACCGTGCTCCAGGGAAACCAAATTGCCACAATTGTGGCGTCGGAGAACTGGTACCAAATGTGTTTGGGAAGATAAAAAGATGTCCGTCTTGAAATACTGACTGGTTCATAGCAAATCAGTGCATAGGCTAAATATGCATTCAGTCGCCTATACGAGGCTTCCAATGAAGTCAAATCTAGGAGACTGGTCGACAGCGAACGCTTTGCCCTTTCCCCATCAATGTGACAAAACAACATGAACAGGTTGGTAGAGAAACCTCTGTAACACGAGTTATGGTAGGAAGTTTAATTCGGGAAATTCCAGAGAGGTTAAATTTTAAGACGCACACATTGTTCCAACAAAGAGAACAAATCTCACCAAGGTTTCTGTGAATCTAGAACGAATTACAAACGCTAGCTTAATGGTGAAAATGCATGAAAATCTTGCACAATGCAGAAAATAGTAACGCATGAGATCCTTGACACAAAGACCTCCCACATTAGGAAGCATAAAAGGATAAAGCTCTCGGCAATCATCAATCTGTGACGGATGCGAAATGCACTCGACTTCTTTAAGCATCGTTAGAGGTGAATAAATGCATACCTGGTCTTTACAATGACTTGCGGTGGCCTACCGATGTATCAACCCAGTGCTTGACATGTCTGCTACCAATTTGCAGACCCCGGAGGAATGGAAGGCTTGATAGGCCATGGGCGCGGGAATCGATTCCACGCGTATGTCGCAGTGGCGCCTCCAACCACTGCGCGACATGTGCACCGCGTAACACCTGTATCACCTGTAGTCCCGTGCGAGCGGGCGCCAGTAAATCCTCGATTTTTCAATGTTGCGTGCAAGAGTAACACAGTGGCTTCCGCTCGCTCTAGGGACTCGTCGAGCATCACATCTTTCTTCAAGGCTCTTGGTGAATAACTCTGACCATCGGATCGGTTGTCTTCCTGCAGTACGTTTGACATTGCTAGGAATCCAGTCACTAACGGCTCTTGTCCATCGGTTGTCATTCATACGCATTACGTGTCCGGCCAACCGTATCTTCGGCTGTTTGGCGTACAGAACGGCATCTTTGATTTTTGATCGTTGATGCAGATCGGAGCTTCGGTTCCCATCGTTTATTTGTGAGGAACGGGATACTCCTAGCATCGTCCTTTCGACTGCGCCTTTAACAGCGCTGAGTGATCTTTCGTCCTGCTTACGCAGCGACCAGGTTCTGACGCATACGTTAGGGCAGGAAGTACCGTTGAGTCGAAAAGGTGTCGGGAGTTCTTTGTTCTCTTAACTACATCTTCGATACTCTTAAAAGCTCCCCAAGCCACTCGTTTCTTTCTGCTCAGCTCTGGAGCTAGGTCGTTCTTGACAGTGATCTCCCGACCCAGATAGATATAACTGGAGCATTCGGAGATATTCGCTCCGTTGAGCGTGAATGCGGCATGCGAAACAAATTCGTTAGCCGAAGACCAATCTTTCCACAGGCTTTATCAAAGTCGTCGAGCATACGTTCCGCTTGGCTAATGTTTGGTGTTTTAAGGCCGATGTCATCAGCAAAGCCAAGATAGTGTAACTGCCGACCATCGACTTTCACTCCCATATTATCCCATTTCAATGTTCGCATGACGTTGTAGACGGTGGTGGTAAACAATTTTGGCGAGATGGTATGGCCTTCCCTAACCCATATTTTGACGTCAGTGTTAATATAGCTGTAGAATAGTGATATCTTGGTTGTGAATTTTTGTACAGCTGACGAAGAATCTTTATGTACTCAGTAGGGACTATCAAGTGGGGACTCCTTGACTATCAAGGGCTTCCATGACTACTATCTCAATTAAATCAAAGAGCTTCTGTGAATCGATGAAAGTGAGACAGAGCGGTTTTTCGTACTCTGGCGATACTTCAATGAGGCTTGTTACTGTGTGTATTTGGTCCATCGTACTAAATCCTCTTCGAAACCCTGCTTGATCACATGGCTGTCCTTTGTCTAGTGTTCTGTCAATCCTGTTTAGGATAACTCAAGTGGAAAGTTTGTAAACGACAAACAGTGAGCAGATTGGGCGATAGTTACCGATATCGTGTAGGTCACGCTTCTTGAATAATAACCCGGTCCTGCTGCTCTTCGGCAGGGTAGGGACCTTGCATTCAGACAGGTAACGTGTGAAGAACCGAGCCAGTGTGTTTACGAAGACTGGCGGAAGGTTCTTCAGGTGTTCTGGTCTTATCCTGTCCGGAACTGGTGCTGTTCGATTTTTCACCGACGAAATGGTATATCGGATTTCGGGAAGGAGAACCGATAGTACAACATATGCATCCTGCTTTGCTTCATATAACGCAAGGTGGACGTGGCTATCGAAGAGATCTAAGCAGTATTGGTGAATGATTTTCTCCAATGCTTTTTTGGCCGCTGTAGTTGTTCCGTCTGGGCGCCGGAGTGCAATCATTTTGATCTTATAATTGGCGAAACTTCGGTCGACTTAGCGAATGCTTTTCACAGCCTCTGCAGCTTCGACCATTACTGCTGCTCTTCTCTCTTTAAGATCTTCTTTTATCACCTGTCTGCATTGTTTCACAACTTCGGACGTTAGTTCGCGGTCGCCCACAGCGCGCGCGTTTCCACGCTGGCGTATCAGCTCGAGTGTTTTTGGAGACACACGTCTTTTGTTGACTTTCAAACGCTTAGCTTTCATAACACTAGCGTGATGATGTTGAATGAGCCGATCGTATTCTTCACCGATGTTATCGACAACGACATCTTTCCAACAGCCGACTAAGGAATTGAATAAAGTCCCAGTTTGCGGCGGTTTTGAGAATTCAGTTTTAAAATTTAGCGGCTTTTCTCCTTTCCGCAAGAAATAGAATCTTGCACAATGGAGACGAAAGTCTGATCCCGTGTAGAATGTTGGGACAACAGCGACATCGGTTAGGCAAAACCTTCCATTTACTATAATGTGGTCTATTTCGTTATGGTACTCTCCATTGGAAGGCTTCCACGTCCAGTGATGAAGATGGTGCTTGGGGAATTACGAGTCACCATGGATGGTCTTGGTCATCATGATAAACTCAGAAAGCGGTCACCCTATACGTTCCACTCTAATCCGTGGGTCCCAATGTGACGTTCTTCTTGGTCCAATCTTGGCGTTGAAATCTCCAATGATGACCTTGAAGAATGTATGGTCTTCTCTGTAGAACTTCTCCAAGTCCATATAGAACGCTTCGGCTTCTTCTTCATAATAGTTTGATGTCAAAGCCGGAATTGATCCACGCCTTTTTAGTCGTAAACGTCCAATTCGGGTTGGAAGTTGTTCGAATGAATCGATGTTCATGAACAAACTCGTGTTGACAAGAATGCCGACGCCGCTGACTCCTCTACTGATGCATGTTCCGAGGAACAGTTCTTCTCCGTGTCATAGACGGCGTTGAAAGGCTGGCGTCTCCTCGTTTCGGCCGGGTCGATGACGTCGTACTTTGTCCTTCTTGCTCTCATGAGCAAGTCTTCTATCGAGGACTCGGATGCAAATGTACGTGCATTGTAGGTACAGATCGTCACTATGGTTCCTTGAAATCCAGGCAGCTTCCATTGACCGTGAAATTTCAGCAGCCTCTCCGTACTCGCCCAACCCAACGCTGCGAAATTGGAGGCTCTTTCGGGATCAGGGGAATGAGGCCCGTTTTTTTCTTTACTGTGTTTAGCACTTTGTTACCCACGTATAGCTTGCTGGGCTCTGAACGTGGGGGCGGAGTATACTCACGGGTAGCTTGGCAGGATCTTATTTGTTGGAGGCGACTCCTAACCACCTCCCATATACTTCCCAGTCACTTGACTGCAGGCTTTTGGCCCAATTCACTCGCACAATACAATCCACATAAGCAAGAACGCACCCACACACGCATGCATGAATACGCCTAGCAAATACAGAAAGTGTGTGCCAAATCAGCGCAGCAGAAACAGGGAGTCCATCCCTGGATCCACCTACGTCTCAAGGAAGCAAAGGTCGCTTTTGGTCCGCGATTAACCCGCTATCCGCCACCTGGAGACGCGCCACGTAGCCTCGCGACCAACCGGCTCGAGATCCCTCATATGAGGGAGATCCGCGTATTTTAAATATATATTTATATATATACGTATATATTTGTTTATAGTTTTATCTTTTTAAACTTGCATGGGCCTTCAAAACATACTGTATTAAGTAAAGCGCTTTTTCATTTCAATTCGTTGCCTTGCATACACCCTCCACGAAAGCCTCCTGACTTCTATGTGCGCGTTTGGTTTCTGCTTCAGGATTTTAGTTTTCTTCATAAAGGTCGCTAGGGGGCGTGTCGCGCAGTGGTCGGAGGCGCCCTGCGACACACACGTGGAATCGATCCCAGCGCCCATGGCCCACCAAGCCTTCCATCCCACCGGGGCTGGCAAATTGGTACCATACTTTTCTGGGAGGAGAGCAGCACTGGATGGATGCACCGGTAGGCCACCACGAGTCATTGTAAGTGCAAAATCTGCATTCAGTCACCCCGAAACGATGCTTGATGATGTCGAATGCATGGCATTTCCCTCTGGGATTGATCAACGCCGAGAGCTTTATCCTTATCCTTTATGACTGTGGCTGAATGCTCGCTCAGGAGATTCTCCTTAGAATTCTATGATAAGCATGATAGAACATTCTCACTCCATCATTATGAGGAGTGGGCAACCTCGGAGGAAGCTTTCCCGGAAAAACCTGGCATCAATTTTGAAACCTACCGTCGTCTAACCTCGGTAGCAAAATAATCAACATCTGTTTGAACTGCTGATCTTACACGAGATTGATAAACCAACGAAAACAATAAATAAATAAATAATAAAGCAATAAACAAGTGAAATGAATAAATGCAAAGTAAAAAATAATATAATAGTAAACAAATTACTGCAAACGGATAGTCATATCAACAACAACCGCCACTGCCCTGTGTAAAAACGCATCGCCTAGTGAGTACGACCCATTCGAGAGATGCTCCACCGAGGAAGATCCGGCTCGATACGAAGACGAAGACGCCACATCGAAAAGACGAACAGCTATGGACTATCGACTGGGATCATCGGCTCTGATGAAGGCGAAAAGGTCGAAACGTTAGCCGAATAAAACTATATTAACAATCTTGTCTAAACTCAACAATTTAAAAACATGTTAACCCTGGCATCCATTTGCCCACCATTGAGGGATGATGCGATCGTGGAACCGATAACTGTGAGTACGTGTTTTGCACGATACCTATAATATCTGCACTTCTCGGACACTTGACACTTGAGCGGCCCATCCTCACTGGTTGTGCGGGTCCCAGCATAATCATTATTCATCGGAGATTTGCTGGTTAAGCCATTGTGGTTCCCTGGAATCCCGAGGTCAGCCTGGCCAAAGTCTGCCTCAGGTCTTTACCACCACGGGCAGTCGTAGCCCATGTGGATCAAAGGAAGATTTGCCACCATGCGACTTTGATACTAGGGCAGTTTCGGATCTTGGTACTGATTTACTCTTAGCTAAGCTTCCTGATGGAAACGCCGGACTCCTTCTCAGCTTAGGAGACCCTACCGTGGAGACGAATCCCACCGCTGTACATCGTGGTCCAACACACTGGAACACTTCCCAGCCACGATGAAGTGGTAAACCGTTGAGAGGTCTCGCACACACACACGCTATATATTATATATATATATATATATATATATATATATATATACAATATATGTGAATGCACATATACAGCAACGACTTACAAGAGTGTGGCCGGCGCGGGAACTGTACGGTTCCCTGTGGAGAAATGATAGACGTTTTTTTATCTTTTCTATTTGATCGCTCTTCCTAGTTATAGACTATTCCAGAGACGTACACAAAAACGCATTCGATACCGCTCACACGATTGTCAAGGTGCTTGAGTACATGTTTGACCGTTGCACTTGCTTACGAAAGCATATGGTACTTCATGGCACTGCTGCTCTCCTCCCAGATAATTCTGCTACCAATTTGCAGACTACAGGCTTGACAAGCCCCAGCCTGAGTCTCGAACCAAAACAATCAACTTTGTATTGCAGGGCATCTTTGACCACTTCATTGCACAAGCGCCTTATTACTGCTATTGGTCATGCGCTTCCTGTCATTGTCTTATCGTTTTTAACTGTTTCTTTATTTTTCTTTTTGCAATCTAAAACATTTCATAACGGATAGTGGACAGAGCTCATAAAAGCGATCAACTGTGCTGTATTAGCACATTGAAGTTGTAATAATTAATCGCAACGGATTGAAGCGTTCTTCAAATTCCCGAGTTATAACCCTCGTGTTCAATGCCTTTTAAAGAAAAATCGCTTACTACCCAGGATCGATGATCTCTTGTGGTACTTGCGGAAACGAATATATTGGCGAAACGGGTAGACCTTTATGTATCAGCATAAAAAACACCTAGACGGCAAACGAAAAGCAAAACAAGGCACGCCACTAGGGACGCATAGGATACAAAAGCATAGCGGAGACGATTTTGATGTTAAAATCACTATCCTCGTACGAGATCCTAAAACACCAGCGCTTGAGGCTTTTTGGATAAATGCCAAAAACCTTAAAATGAACAGCAGGGAGGAATGTCTCGAAATCACATGTGATCTCGCCCGGTACCTTCGCATCGACCGTTGATGTGGAGAGGTGCAGTCGTCAGCCATATGCGACGCTGATCAGCGGCTCTTCCTTAGTGGACGGCACGAAAAAAAACCATGGGTTTTTCGAGAAGCTGTTGACCGTGTGACTACCATTTAGATTCTCATCTTTCTGTATGTGTTATTGAAGCGTTTGACGTAGTAAATTGGATATCACTCTACCCTTCCAGGCTCTGAAGAAGGCGATTCTGCCGAAACGTCAGCTAGCGTTGTATTGTATTGTGTTTTTCTATGGAAGTAAATGTATGCTGCATAACAACCTCGCGATTGCTGAGAGAGAAAACGAGGAAAAATTGTTTCTGGAATGCATTGCCGGAAAGCCGCCCCGTTTTACACTTTTGAACCCGGAAGTATTGGTTTTTGTAAGCATCTGGCAGTTGTTCCCTGAGCTTAAAATGTGAATGAATTTCATAAATGAATAGTGAATGTGCTTTTTGAGGTCCCTTAACTCCTACATAGTAACAAACGACTACCGGTTAATGTACGATTCAGCCTTTCATTTGTCTAATCCTCTACGAATTGAATGAATCTGCAGTCCTTTTTCTAACGCTAGAATGAGAGTGGAGAACAGTCGCGTCGCTGAGAAACTAGCCTTTCGCTATAATAAATTTATGTTAAATGCAAACCTGACGTGACATCCGACATTATCTTGGCTTTACACTCCTCTGGACTGATTTACTGCTAAAAAGCCATATCATACGACCGTTGTATTTTCGACGAGTCAACTCGATGTTGGTTATTAATATTTACAACAAGTTATTTGACTTAATCCTCCCATCGGCTCACCGCCTCATCGTGGCTGGGAGGTGTTCCTAGGTGTCGGGCAGCGATGTACAGTGGGGGACTCATCCCCTAGCAGGGTCTCCCAAGCTTTTGACGAGTTCGACTTTTCTATGAGGAAACCTAGTTAAGAGTAAACCAATACCAGGTTAGACCATAGTCCTGGTATCAAACAACTCGCAGGGTGGCAAATCTACCTCTAATCCAGAACGGCTGCGACTGCCTGTAGTGGTGACAACCTAGGCAGATTTCGGCCAGGCTGATTTCGGGACTCTAGGGAAACACAGCAGCCAAACCAGCAAAACTCCAAAAAATGGAGGTTATGCTGAGGCCCACACAACCTGTGAGGACGAGCCGTCCAACTATCTATTTGATTTAATCGTTCAGCTATTGTCATAGCTTAGAAACATCTTTGCTTATGAAAGAAAAAACCTTAGACATTGCTCATTTATCACGTAGATGAGGTGCATATTTTTCCTTACGACAGGCACGCCTTAGACAATTCTCATTTATCATGTAGGTGAGGTGTAATCACCATGAAGAATGCACGTAGAATGGCAAATGCGGAGTGCGCTTCGAATTCAAAACTCATTCTGAGCTAAGGAGTTGATATGACAGCCATTTCTTCGTGGATGCTAAGAATTTTTGCGGCTGTATAGAGACGCATACAGTGCAGTTGTTCTAGATGGCATGCTACGCACGCATGTCGTTGGTTCGGTAAAATGCTCCGTACTAATGAATTCCTCCATACCTCCGAGGTCAAAAAACTCATAGCAAACTTGTTAGGGAGAGTAAGAAAACCGGCTTCATAAGTCGGTAGGCCACTTAAAATTACTGTATAGGCCGAATATGCATCCAATCACCCGTACATTTCTGCGAATGGAGTTGAATGCATGGTACATCCTTAACGGATTGATCAAAGCCGAACACTTAATTGTTTCTGATTTACGTATAACGTCCTGAGAGTTTAGCGAGTTAAGGTTTTTGTTTATTGTATGGGTACGGTAACGTCAACTTCGAAACATTTTCCTCCATGTTCCGTGATGAATACCTATTGGAGTTTTCTTTCCCCTATAATTTAAATTTACAATATAACAACTTTGTTTATTGTATATCATACATCGTGGAAGATTATCAAAAATATCAAGAATTACTATATAAAGCACAGAACTCCTTCTAACGATTGTTACTAAATCCGAATGCGACTTCTGTATCATACCTGTATGAAGCCATCCATTAATAATTGTAGCTTTTGTGGCATCAAGGTTTCCAAGATAACCAAGCATTACGGTTGGCCCTTTTATACAAATCTCACCACTCATACCGGTTGGCATTTCTTTCCCAGTTGACGGATCGACGATCTGAGATTGAAAATGTTTTATCGCTTCTTCCCTTGTGTTATTTTACCTAATGGCTCTTCATTTTGTTTGATGAAAAATTTCCATTCGAGAATGCCAGAATGTTGTGGGCTCACTTTCATTCGTAGATTAGAAGCAACCTTTCCAACGCTTCCAAAAGGCACCTCGTTCTTAAGGTCTGGTAAATGTGAAGCCATGGTGCATTCGGTCATTCCATAACCTAAATTTTAAACGAAAACCTTTTACAATCTTAACCCTTTAATTTACTGCCTATTCTTTTTAACGGCAGGGTATTTTTCGAAATATAACCGCTATAATGCTGAGATATTTGCAAAACTCCGGGCCGCAGGTGTCTGCGGTGGGGAACGAACGCGTTATTGTACTTTCCAGGGAGTAACGCGTTCACTACCACACCATGCGGGTCCTTCGTTTCGCCTTTCTCTCAGCTAGTTCTATCGATCTTTTGCCGTCAGCAATCACCCATCAACGGGATTGATTTGGAGAGCCCAAATCGGCATTCAGCCCAGTTAAGTTGAGGCTATAGTTGATTTTAACTTATTATTTACTTATTAGTCGCAATTTTAACTTATTATTTACTGCAGAGATCGATAGAACTAGCTGAGAGATAGGCGAAACGAAGGACCCGGATGGTGTGGTAGTGAACGCGTTACTCCCCGGAAAGGACAATAGCGTGTTCGTTCCCCACCGCAGACACCTGCAGTCCGGAGTTATACATCTCAGCATTATAGTAGTTATGTTTCACAGAAAACCTTTTAGTTGTTTCCAGTATAAAAATGAGTATGGGAAAGAAATATCTAGAAACGCTTGAAATATTTAAGACTGAGTCCGAACTGCTCAGTTTTTCCTCCTGAAAATAACAAAAATTAAGAAGCATTCTAATATTGACAATGTTAAATAGTTACATATCACTAGACTAGTATTTCTGCCTTTTCTATTCTACCAAATGATCATCAGGGATATATGCCGGTTTTATAAAGCAAAAAACAAAGGATACAACGCTCCACGTTCATTAACTCCTCAAGGATGCTCCTGCATTCTATTCTTTTCGTACCATCGTAACCGTTATTGAAACCATAACCTTTACGGCGAAGTTCTAGACATACCGAGTCACTTATCAGGCAAGTTTATGATCAATTTACGGAACGCAGAGGGACGGAGGCTTGGTTCGAATGAGCGCGGAATCGAACCAAAGCCCACGTGTGTCCTTGAGGGGATTTCAAACTACTACGATAAATGGGTGAGTGACAATTACGAAGAATAACTGGCCGCCATGATATAATAAATCCAAGCAATAAGTACATTTCTATAGATGCATTGTTCTCCTGTAAATCGACGCACGACAAATACCTAGATTTCCTAGCGGATTACACAGTCTTTTTTAAAATTTCTTTCTTGAGAAGTGTTTATAATCATTCCACTACCATGTAGTATGAAATTTCATATCGATTCCTTTTTGGCGTGAACAATCTCTACTTCATACATTCGTGAAAAGAATTGATATTTACGAAACATCAAGGTTTTAAACACTTACCGACCACTACGTGTGGCTTCATAAAATGGTAGAAGACTTTTACTGGACATCTTCGGCACATGGTTGTGTATGTATGGGGTTTAGATAGCTTTGCAAAGATTATCTATCTAACGCTAGCGGGTTCTGAATAGGTCGAAGAAGAAGTTCTCAAACAACAAGCCCCACGCGTCCGTCAGGTGTGCATTACGCCATTACGCAAACAAATGGCGAATAGCACATGAATCAAGTGCACTTAATGACGATCAATCAGTTGTTTTCAGTACTTCAAGAACGTGATCAGGATCGGTCAACGAAAAACGCCACAAGACGCAGAAATGTTTGTGATTCCAACGTCAATAGTAGCAAAAAAGAACACAGAGAACATTACATCCGTTCGGACCAATGGCATTCGCTTCCCACTTCCCACAGAGAGAGCAACATTCGGGAACGAATAGATACCACGCAATACACATGTGGTGTTTGTTGCACCAATCCTGCACCCTGAGCAAAACATGTTCACCACCTCTCCAAGATCGGCAAATTAGGACCAGAAGAATAAAAAACCTGATTCAAAACATCATTGTGTCTCCAGTAGTTTTTAGGCCATAAATGGCTTCAATCTTAGGAGTCAAATGAATGGTGGCGCATCCATAGTTTAGCATCGTTAAAGATCAGTGAATTCATATCTTGCCTATATAACGGTGGCTGCGGTGGCTTATCGATGTATCAAATCAGTGCTGCTTTCCTCCTAGACAAGTCTGGTACGAATCTCCTGAACCTAGAAGTAGGGAAGGCTTGGTGTACCCGAGAAGCAGGAACGATTTAAGGATCTCATGTGTACCGTAGTGTAGCTCTAACCGCTGTGCTATCCACAACCCTGTCACTGATATAAATATATATACATGATAAACACATATAAATAGATAAATTATGGCAGTATATTACATACTATCATATCATTTCATATGCTATATATATGTATGTATACACCATATCTTCTCTATAATTTACATACGTATATATAACGTTTGCTTTGGTCTATATGTGTATAACTAGTATGGATGTCTGCATGTGTATACCTGAAATATGTATCCGTGTGTGTGTGTGTGTGTGTGTATATGTGTGTGTGTGTTTGTGTGTGTGTGTGTGTGTGTGTGTGTATGTGTGGGTGTCGGGGGGGGGAGGAAAGTTACGTTCTTTGACGTTTACTGGTATTGAGAGTTGGAGAAAAGTAAAATTTGATTTCAACCAAGTATTTTCAAAAGTATCCGAGGAAAATCGAAACAAGGGAGTCAACTGAATATTGAATTCGTATGTGGTCTGAGATGTTGCGTCATACAAGTCATACTGTGCCAAATGTTCTTGTTTTCAAGTCCCGTGAATTTCGATCCACGTGGATAAAACTGTAAAATATATTTGCAGTAAAAGAATTTCACTATCGTATTATACCTTGTCGAATGTACTTAATGTTAGGATACTTCTTAGATAATTCCTCGCAGATATCCTTTCCGGCCGGAGCAGCACCACAAATGAGCATCTTCAACGAAGAGAGATCATACTGCTCACAAATAGGATGTTTAGCCAAGAACACCATGATCGGGGGCACTACAGGCAAGAAATGAATCTAAAAACAAGGTTAATGGAATATTCTGTTAAAAAATTCAACACGCGACCTGTCAGCAGATTCATTCCAGTGAAAATGCTCTTTTATTAAATTTCGTTTTAAGTACCGTCTCTTACTCTAAGAGAGAAAATAAAACGTCTAGTGCGTTGAAGCCACTCAAATGTGTTGCTACGTTCAATGAAACGAATTCACTGAATCTGTGGATCTGGTTTGCCCATCATTCTGGTCATTGTGAGTGGGCGCGCTCAATAAAAAAGGATAAAGTTTTCGGTGTTGATGAGTCCTTGAGGCATGCGTCATGTACTCGACTTCGCTAAGCATCTTAGAGGTGATTTAAAGCATATCTGCCCCTTGCAATGATTCATGGTGGCCCACCGATCACTGAATCAGTGCACCAATCTTCCCAGAAAAGTCTGGTATCAATCTGCCGCCCCGAAAGGATAGAAGGCCTGGTAAGCCAGAGGTAAGAGGATCAGTCCCATTTGTAGCAATTCCCAAGGGGTTAGAGAGTTCCTGGCACCAACCAAATCTTCCATTCTTTCGATATCGAGGAATTGTTAACAGATTTGCTCCGAATCAGTCTATTCCTCTAGTTCAAAAAGTTGTTGTCTTCCCAAAAAGAGTCAAAAGTTGTGATGATAATAGTGGAACGCGGCAGAGTAGTATTTCAGGATTCCATGGAAGATCTATTGGACCCGAATTCACTGGCACTCATTAAAAAAGGTGCTCAAGTAGCAACTGAACCTCGGCGCAATCCGAGGCCTTCGTGGATGATGAATGCGAGGACATGAGTAGAATGAAAGAAGTGCTGGGTTTCGCACAAATTACAACGTCGTGTCGTGCCGAAAAATTTCCAACATTTCACATTCCGTTCTCTTTTCACACTAACGACAAGGTACCTTCTGCCGCCGTTGTCTCATCAACTCCATCCATTAGGCACTGACGACTATCATTGGGCGATTCCAATATTTTTTGGCAAATATTTCTTGGCAACTATGCGTGTCTTCTCAAATTGTGAATTTCACCTGTAACGTGGGACAATGGCCACCAGCGAACGAGTTCCACTAAATGTCTCACAAAATGAAGACCGGCTGACTCAATAATCAGAACACTTCATGAGGGTCTTCGAAAACACAGCTGATGCTCAACGAATTTGCAGATCGAACAGAATCTACTGCGCTAGCAGTGCAGTGCTTAGTGATGAAGTTAATCAGGAAGCAAAGTGCTTCCCCGACCTCCTCCCTAAACCCCTTCTCCAATCTACGAAGGAACCCCTTGACTCCTCTATCTCTCCAAAATCGAAAGGAGAATTTACTCGACGAACTACAACATTCGTGAAGGCGAGAAATCCACAAGCAGCACCCGAAACAACACAGAATGTTCGAGGACCATTGTGGACAATGAATGCGATGAAAACGAATTTAATATATGAACTGTTGGGATCCGCACAGTAGTTGTTATGACGGATAATGCACAATAAAAACTAAAAAGTAGGGTACAAATGGTTTTGTTACGAAGGACAAGGGGATAAAACATCCGGAGTTGATAAATTCCATAAGGTTGCGCAATGCACTCGAATTCATTAAGTATCATTAGACGTGACTGAATACATATCTATACAATAACCTGCGATGGTCTACAAATGTATCAAGTCAACGATGCTATTTGCCGGTTTCAGAGATGGAAGGCTTTATGAACCTTGGGTGCGCGGTCGAACCAATGACCACTGGTGTATCACAAGGCACCTCTAACTGCTGCGTTACACGTGCGCCTATTGGTGGTTTTGTTAATAATTAGCATTGCATACGAATCATCAATCAATTATGGTGTGCGAAATGCTTCGTTAAAGATGCTACTCAATGACATGTCCAAGGTAGTTAGTTAGCTAGTTTGAACCCGGCGGCAGTCAATCAACCCTTCCCTCTGCCGCTGAGAAACTGGTAACAGACTTGTCTGGAAAGGGTTTCACCAGATTTACAAAGGCCGGCAAACGACTATGGTAAAGACCTGCGACGTCCAGGTGCGTCTAACCTAGGTATCCGTAAAGAATCTAATTGACCAGCATTTGACAGCATTAATGAAGAAGGCCAAGATACTCAAGCAGCAGCCGAAGCTATGCACAAAATCCGAAACAATTTGTAAATGACGGATGCCAAGAAATAAAAATCATGGAATAAGCAATGGGAATCGCAGAATATTTAGTACCGGGTTATTTAACAATAGCGGTAATAATAGATCATACTTTGTAGTCCTGAATAGCTTTGCAAAAAGCGACTGGCTCGAAATGCTTGAATATGACACCGGTGCTGCCTTGGAGAAGAGTGAGATTGATGAGACCTGTGAACGTAAACAACTCCATTCAATATTTTGCTAATATCTATTCCTATATTACGTTATCTGTATATGCTTTTAAAACAAAAATTTTGGTTCATAATAATGTTAATGTAATGTTACTTGTCCTATCACTAAACAGGACGAGAACCGCCTCGACTCATAGTTCCACTAGGGAGATATAAAGGTTTCTATTGCGGGCTTAGTACACTCGCCTGACTCATGAATATCAGACCTCCGACCATTGAGAGGCATGGAAATTTCCCCAGCCATGTTTCCATGATCTTAGGTGTAATCTTATCAACATCCAAAAATAAAAATACAGTGGGTAAAATAGGAAAGCTTGACGACGAACAAAGGGTCATGGAAGTAACAAACGTGGTAGCAAATATAATGCAAAATGACTAAAAGGATAAAAGACAAAGTGGTCATTGTTGATCGATCCCTGAAGGACACTCCATGCATTCGGCTCTATTTCTAGCATAACAAGGGCGATTTAATACATACTTGGACTAGGCAGTATTTGCGGGAGACTTCCGATGTATTAAGTGAACGTTTTATCCCTCCACGTAAGTCCGGTGGCGCTCCACCCACTATGAAAGGATGCTGGACACGGTTTCTCAAAAGCATAGATCTCATCTCTATTCACAGCGTTACTCAAGCCCCACCAAAAATTAATGTCGGAAGCAAAATTTCAGTCATATTATTCACAAAAATATCTCTGTGTTTGGCTCTTTTTTGTTGTTCGAGAACATTGATTTCCTCTGCTGTTTGACAATCCGTGACTATTTTAGTTATCGATTAGTCATTAATTATTACTTTTAAGGTTCGTTTTCGGCTTGAACGTCATTTTAAAGAAACTTGTGACGATGATTGGTGGGCGTGAGATGAAAGCCATTTTCACCTTTCACTGTGCCAATCTTTTGATTAATAACGATATTCTAAATAATTGGAACTAACCAAAGCCATAAACATGGTAAAATGGTAAGAAAAGAATGATTTTCTCCATCTCATAGTCCCAATTAACATCAAGAAACGGAGTGATGTTGGTGGTTTCGTGCCTAAAAGTAGGCATGGTAATAGTTACTTGTTTGAAACGTTCCTGTGCAGCCTCTAGGTGTAGTCTCAGTCATTTCGTTGGATACGTTTGGACAAGATAAAACAAGGTAAAAAGGGAAAAGGTTCTCGTTCTTCAGTCCTTTAGAGATGTGGATTCGACTCCATTCGCAGAAGCATGGAAGTGATTGAATGCAAATCTATTTGACCCATACAACGACTTTTTGGGGCATTTTGACATATCAAAGCAGCGTTTTTCAGTACTCTCTTATATAAGTCTGCTACCAATTTCCCACGCCAGAGAGATAGGGCCTTGGTTGACCCACGGCCACGATTAAACTGACGACAGCAACTGATAGGAAATTCGTTTAAAGTTCAAACGACTAACCGCATATACAGTGTTATCATCGTAGCGAAATTCTTGTGCGATAACATTACACCTTTTGGATTTCCAGTAGTACCGCTAAATCAAATTGAATAAGGATATTCTATACAGTTCCATCAGATCAAAACTTCCATACTCTTTTCTTTATTTTAAGAAAATACAGCTGTATTCCTGATGGATGTTCAAATTTACATGGGCCATTCGTGGGGCGAAATGCATTGGCTGCAATGCATTTTGCCCACTTCGCCCAGGTCCACACATGTATTGCGCACAGTGCATCTCAGCATCTCAGTCGCCATGTGTGAATTGAGAACATGAATATTGCAAATTTGGAAAAAGTTAAAATGCATTTTTAGAATTTGGAAGATTTTTGCTAGTTTATTCAAACATTCGGAATGATGACAAAATCAATAGGCGACTGCATTTTTAAACGAACAGCTAAATTAGTACTGCGAGTAGTCTTAGCAACGAGCAAAAGAATTTCCCACCTGGAATACGGTAATAGGACCATATCTCTGTCGACGTCGATCATGGCCCTAGGGATTGATGTTGACGGCGTTGTGTTGACAATATCGTTCCAACTAACCACTCTGTGAGGCACATAGCCGTCCGTTGATTCAGGGATATAGATCACTAACTGAAACTTTGGTTACTGGTGCGAATAAAAGTTCTGGCCTATCTTCATGTGCTTTGTTTCACTTCGATCGAGCAAAAACTAGGCTTAATTATCTATTTAAGGACTTCCACCTGCACTCATCTATAGGAATAAGCACGGCTTTCTACACTCTACCTGCCCAACCACGACACTATCTGTCACAATGTTCATCTTAGGAGCCTAGGAGTAGAATGAAATGGCTGGTGTTTTTAAGTCGAGATGCGATATTCCACTTGTCCTGTTATATTGAGGTGAGACGAAATTCAGTGTTCCGAATAGAAAACTGAGTACAACAGCTGTCAGTTACTTGTAAGTAATCCGAACAAATCCAGGTTGCTACTGGTTGCCAAACGTACGACAGAAATACGATTGATTCATCCATCAGATTCTTTACGAAGATTCTCAACGGAATATAAGGTCTCCGTGTTCCTCAAATGAGCAAGACTGATTGGGTAATATTAGTACACTATAGAAGAATATATGGGCGCGTGTGGAGCAGTGGTGCCCTGCAGCACACACGTGGAAACGATCTCTTCGCCCATGGCCCACCTAGCCTTCCATCCCTCCATGGTCGGGAAATTGCTACCAGACTGACTTGTCTGGGAGGATGACAGCACTGGCTCGATACATCGGTAGGCCACCGCGAGTCACTGTAATGGCCAGATATGCATTCAGTCACCTGCAAACGATTCTTAAGAAGTCGAATGCATGGAGCGTTCCTCAGGGATTGATCAACGCCAAGAGCTTTATCTTTTCATAGAAGAATAAGTGGAAACTACTCGAAATCACTCCAATGTGATCAGCAGACAAGGCTTTTCTACCTTGGCCTTCGTTTCACCAATAGCATCATCATCTTTTGAATGAGCATCAGTGAAGCAGAAACAATGCTAAATGACCTAAATGACCTGAACAAAGAAGGAAGAAATAATACGACTGCGAACAAATCCAGAAACATGGGTCGCCCGTGCCTCAACGACAAGTGGGTATTGGTGATTCCATTATTACTAAGTCTAAACATCACGTGCACATAAGCGTTCGATGAACATGGAACATGCAATGAAGAATAAATTGCTCAGATCAAAATGGATCGTGTTCAGGCCTATCAGAGAAGACACAAACCAGACGAAGAAACTCAAAATGTGTTCATGGTTTGAAACGATTGTCTTTGCAGCGTTATAAAAAGAAAAGGATAAAGCTCTCGACGTTGATCAATCCTTGAAGGATGCACCATGCATTCGACTTTATTAAGTACCGTTGGAGGTGATTGATGCATATCTGGCCTTTACAATGACTCGCGGTGGCCTACCGATGTATCGAGCCAGTGCTGCTATCCTCCCAAACAAGTCTGGTACCAATTTGCCGACTCCGGAGGGATGGAGGGCTTGGTGGGCCACGGGCGCGGAGATCAATTCCACGCGTGTGCCGCAGTGGCGCCTCCAAGCACTGCGCCACACGCGCTGCACTATGTAGAGTAAAATAGAGATGAGTATTGAAAGTATAAATGGATTGATAATTTACGAGAGTTAACGACAGAATGACGAAGAGAGAGCCGAATTGAACATAAGGAAGATTTAGGCATGCAAATCGTCTAAATGGACAAGGATCGTCTTTATAACTCGGGGCAACCATTGCGAAGTCGCTATTTTCTCTGCAATTCATTTTTTGTTTAGAGTTATGAATCAAAGAATGGTAGTTGTAGGAGGTCATCATACACGAAACACACCCTTGCTACGAATAAAGTTAGCATGGAAATAAAACGAATGGGGAACAGACTCATCAGTATTCGGTTGTAAAAAATGTTATCGATGGCCAAACACGAAGATGTAGATGGCCATAGATAATTTTCTCCAGAGAAAATTTTTCTAACTCGTTATTTTCCCACCATAAATAACTTTCTTAAATCAGAATCTTCTAACTTCCTGGTAATGTTCGAAGTTAGAATCAAGAAGCTGGTGATGACTTCGTGGAATGAAAATGAATCACCTGAACTTCAGTACCTCCCTGAATGGCTTTGAGAACTTTCTCAAGGAAATGCTCGGACGTCAGCACAACTTTCGCACGCGAATCGACAAATTGACGCTGAAGTTCGTCTGAAAAGATACAATGATTTTCCCCTCTTCTTTGGGCTAAATTTTTCCACCCAGACCTCGCTTTCACCCTCTATAATATGGCAATCAATGCATTTGAATAGAAAAATAAAGCATGATGTTTGTATCCGGCTAGTTCAATGGAGATTTCAAAGACTTCTTGAGACACGTGTGAACCGGGTGGTTTCCGTGATTTATTGATTCAGCGATGATGGATTACATCGACTATGAACTGGATACAAAGAACGAAAAAATGAAATCTCAGAACAGTTGTCTCATCCAGTGATTCCAAAAGTGATCTGTAAGGCGAGAAATCAGGTTCCATTCAGATGAACACCGTTTATTGATTCGAATTCTGGTTAACCAAGCTTCCGTTTCATTCATAGAGACAATTCTCTGCTTCATATTTTCCCTTATCTTATCTTTATTCCTTATCTTTTCATATGTTTGGAAGTTATTCATAAAATACTCCACGTAATATTGTCGTCTAATCCACTACGAGTCGCTTTGTTCGTACCAATTGGACTGACTTGTTATTGATTGACGGCATGCCCCTCTCACTCTAGACCTTCAGGAATTCATATCCCGTTTAGGGATCCCTTGATCACTGACGTCAAACAAATTCATGGCATTCTAGAATGCATATCGTGTTCTACGAGGTAAATCCTTTGTTAACCACAAACAGTTCAATGCATTGACATTTGATTGCATGTGATCCACTATATCTCGTCTATCCTAAGCTGCTCTCCTTAGTAGCTTTTGTTTGTTGAGCTGTATTTACATAATATGCTACTTGTTCACCATTTTGCTTGGTCCAGTACCTTGCACATACTCTTCATCATTGGTGATGGTAATACACTTCCTATAGTAGTTATTTCTGAGGGCGCGTTTTGCGCAGTGGTCGAAGGCGCCTACAGTACCTATGGGATCGATCTATGCACCCCAGGTCCATCAAGCCCCCATTCCTCGGGGTCGGCGATTAAGCACTAGACTTGTCTGGGAGGATAACAGCACTGGCTGAGCACATCCATCACTGAGAGTTATTGTAAAGGACAGATATGCATTCAATCACCTCCAAACGGTGCTCAATGAAGTTGAATGCATGGCGCATCCCTAAGGGATTGATCAACACTTAAAGCTTTATCCTTTATGATAGTTATCTTTGTAGGTAGTGATTCTGTTGTGCTATTCATTAGCAGCTGGATATAAAGGTTTAGATTCCTCTGCTTGAGGTTCGTACTGAAGTGCCTGAAATGTCCGTGTGGCAAGCCGCAGGATGACTTTGCATTCTCCATTGAACTAGCCCGTTACTTTCCGTGTTAGTTAACGCATCAGCTCGTCCAACAACCTCACTTCGTTGGAAAGTTTAAAAAAGAAGCATGGACTAATAGAATGCGTGGTGCACAGTAGTTAGAGGGTTCTTCTCATCAGACATATTGTCTCACATGGTACCCACAGATCTTTGGTTTCATTTTTCGGCGGATTAAGCCTGCGAACCGCAAACGAAAAAAGCTGCTTGTAGTAAAGATAGAGGAGCGCTTTAGGAAACAAGGATTCAGAAAACATCACGGTGGACTACCATTCGACGAGACACGTGAAGAAGAAAAATTATAAGGTTGAAACCAATGCCTCCTCACAATCCCACCCACATGAACAACCGATGAATGATAACGAAACCCAAAGAAAGAAAATCGCTTAGTGCTGCCCGCATAATATGTGAATATGACTCATACAAACAAGTAAAGGACTAGGATGAGGTAGCACACTTCCATTATTTAATACCTTGGCCTTCATTGTTCTTGTCTCACACTTCCATCTGTCAATTTTAAGAGTTTTTGGCTTCTGAAGACCTAATACATCGCTACTAGAAGAAAAAACTGAGTAAAAGAAGAAAGCGTTCTTATAAGTTCCAGCATGGAATGAAATCGAAGAAATAGAAAGGTTGAAAATGTATGCAAGACGAACACTTTATTTGTTGCTTGCTGTAACTTTTTACGGCACGCTATGATGTGAAATACAACCACAACGATGCTGAGATTTTTGCAAAACTCCGAATCGCAGGTGCGTGCGGTGGGGAACGAACTCCAACTACCCTTTCTGGGTCTAACGCGTTCACCACCACACCATGCAGATTCTCTGTTTCGTTTGTTTCTCAGCTAGTCCTATCGATCAGTACCATTAGCAACCACCCGTCAATGGGATTGATCTAGGGAGCCCAAATCGGCACAATGTTTTATGGTTTCAACTACAGTCTCAGCTTAGCAGGGTTCAATGCCGATTTGGGCTCTCCAGATCAATCCCGTTGACGGGTGATTGTATACAGCATTGATTGGTAGAGCTAACTGAAACACATGCGAAACGAAGAACCCGCATGGTGTGTTGGTGAACGCGATAGCCCTTGGAAAGGGTAAATAGCGGGCTCATTCCCCACCGCAAAAACCTGCGGTCTGAAGTTCTGCAAATATCTTAGCAATATTGTGGTTGTTTGCAAGACTACTGACATGTCTCAAATAATTGCTATTCTTAGAATGTCATTTTAAAATGCAAGAAGGATTCGACCCAAACTTAACGATCGATTGAGCAATGTTTTGTCTAATCAATCGTTTTTTCACTTTTTCCATATTCTTCACGAAGCTTCGTGAGACCACCATTTTTGCGCCGATAGTTATTCTTCTCCTCCAATAGATTTCGACTATGATGAGCTGATGAAGTCATAATTTCATTCACTTTCCACTAGTATCAAAGTTACGTGATAAAGAGAAATGCTCACATTCCGTAAACATCGATGACGCTCCGGAGACGGCTCCTCCTCTCAATGCTACACCGAGAAAGAATGCCGAATAATGCCATAGATTAGGTATAACTGCACATGCGACATCTTTCTAAAAATTTCAGTGCTCGAATAGATTCCAAGATTCATATTCATAGATGGTAAGCACAAGTAAGCTCAGTTAAGCTCCTAATAAAATTATGAGACAAGGTAAGATTGGGTAAGCGGCTCCATCAAGTCCACAAATATCAGCGATTTGACCACCAGCTAAAGATGTATCGGAAGGTGCGCAACACAGTGCAACATCATGCGAAATTTGCAACACCTTTTTTGGTTTCGTCGCAAGTACAATAAAACCATGTTTCTTTTCGAGATCGATGAGATCGCAAACCTATCCACAATGGTTTAAATCATTAGTCTATTGTGGATCTACTAAGGAAACTCGAAGATGACAGTACACTTCTAACGAAGTGATTAATGCTGTGAACACGGATCATTCACTCTACTTTCGTGTATTGATTATGTAGCGTCTTTTATCTTCCTACTTATAGAGAGTGTTTTCTACCACATAATCCTCCTTATCTATTCAGAAAATTACATTTCCGCCTTTCTCACACCAGTTGTAGAATGTTTCTATCTAGCATGCTATGTAGCATGTAGGATGTAGCCATCCACTGAGCATTTGCCTGTTATAAATCAAGATTTAGTTAATTGGATTTAGGATTCAAACTCGAACACTCACAGATAATGACTCGGGTGGCAATTTAGAAGGTAGGCGTGCACTACAAGAATTAGTCAATACTTAATAGTTGAACGGCCCGTCCTCACCAGTGTGTGGGCCCAGCATAATCACTATTTTTCGGAGATTTACTGGTTAAGCCATTGCGGTTTTCTGGAATACCGAGGTCAGCCTGGCCAAAGTCTACCTCAGGTCGTCACCACAACAGGCAGTCGAAGCCTTTGTGGATCAGTGGGAGATTTGCCACCATGCGACTTTGATACCAGGACGGTAGTAGATCCTGGTATTGGTTTACTCTTAGCTAGGCTTCCTGATGGAAATGCTGGAGTTCTTCTCAGCTTGGGAGACCCTGCCGGGAAAACGAATCACCCGCTGTAAATCGCAGTCCAACACGCAGGAACACCTCCCAGCCAGCGGTAAACCGTTGGAAGGAATTAGTCAATACACTACTAAAAATCACCTGTGTAACTCTTTACCACCGTTTTTATAACAACTGCATTACAGAACGGCAGCATAAACTTTGAACTTTAACAGATAGACCATTGTGCCATAGAAGCAAATATTCACTCTGCTTATCAAGCATTCCATACTTAAAGTCCCACGCTTAAATCCACTTGGCTGCCGCACCTATTTGATGCCTAATTTTTCAACGCGTTCTCTATGAATTGGTAGCAACTCATGCTGACTCAGTTACCTCCATGCATGAGTGGAAATCCACTCAACTCAGGATCTGTATGCTGCAGATAAACACTTTTTGTGCATCAATTCCAATCGAACTCTTTTCCAGTCACTGGACAATTTAGACCTCCATATTTGAATGTGGGCAATGTTTTTGAGGGTATTGCCTCCATAACTTGCGTAAACACACCCACCGCGAACCCTTTTGTGTGTAGAAATGCAGCTACTGAATAGGCATTGTCGTAGACTTGCTTAAATGTGACCACTTCACTCGGTTTTTCTCCGTTGATCTGTAAAATAAAGAGAAACGATTACTTTTCATGGAGGAACCAAATCCTCAAGCCCAAATACGTATCTCTGATTAAATATTTTTGATATATTAGGAAAATATGGTAAATGTAAAGTGGTATTTTTAACTTGCTCATGCAGTTAAAGTTACAGTAATTCTCACGTACAAAAGCAATTTTGTTCTTCCCGTTGTCGATGTGCTTTTTAATAGCTTTCAGTAGGATTTCATGATACGGCTCTTCAGGAAGTGTGACATCGGGATAGTCAGATTCTATCATATTCTAAAAGAAGAACTCTTTAAAAAAGTAAAGAAAGGTTTTAAAACATCGAAAAACTAGAGCAAATAAGGCAATTTACGCTAGAGTGCGAGTATTCTTTGTCGATTGAGGAAGGAAAGCTTTACAGTGTAAATAGACATGGTTAACTGGTGATAATGACCACACCAAACAATATTGTAGCTTTCTTCCGCACAAAGTTAATCATTTTCATTGGAAATGTCCTAGTGGTGGTGAAATGAAATACATGTCTGGTTGCTTCGCTTCTGTCCTTTCATCCCGTCAGGTTCTGTGAAATTATGTTGGTTCTTCTGCGAATGATAATCCCAGTGACTTCTTGATCAGCCCATCATTATGCTACTCTTACAGAAGTGACAATTATCACCAAGGTAACCACTATTGATTATTATTATTGTTATTATTACCATCACTGATCATTATTATTATTATTGCGTTGGTTATCACTGTACGAATTTTTTCTTTCGTTACGCAAGAGTTCGATTATGAATTACGGTCTTGGGGCTTATCAATCCTTGAGGGATGCGCCATGCATTCGACTTCATTGACCACCGTTTGGAGGTGACTGAATCCATATCTGAACAATTAAATAACTCCCGGTGGTTACCGACGTACCGAATCAGTACTGCTATCCTTTCAGACAGGTCTGGCACCAACTTGTAGACTCCTGAGGTAGGGAGTGTTTTGTGGGCCGGGAGGCGCAGGATCGAACCTGTGTGTATTGCAGGATAGCTCTAACCACTGCTCTACACATGTTCCTCTTCTTTCGATAGCACACAAAAATTGTTGGTAGCAGAAGAGTTGTTTTTCACTTAAAAAGCCATTCCGGTTCTGATAGCTTTTTATTCTTCAGAGATTTTGAAAAATCTAAAGCAAAGTGGCTACAGATACCGTGCAAAATACACGCACACATACATGGTCGCTAGTTCAGCGTTGTTCCGTGCCTACTATTTGCATTGAATTATTGCGGGATCGAGAAATTTGCGCCAGATTTGGCTGAGTAAAGTTCCCTTCGATCCTTGTAGGCATGCAAGTGCCTATGGGCAAGACTCGGGAAAGCCCTAACATGCCTATCCAAGAACTTCATGGTGAACCTACTCGATCAGCACTCGGAGACATCCAAAGAAGTTTAAAATGCTAAACTAACAGCCGAATTCACACGGAACTCCAACGTACACTGTGGATTACAGATATGAGACAAGGGAATCGAATAAAATGGGTGCTGAGATGGGCATAATATATGATGTTAAGTCATATGAATCAATAAATATAAAATAAATAACGATTCCGAAGAATTAGAATTTAGGGTGATTGCTCAGCAGTGGCCTTTGAACGACTCACTTGTTATACCTTCATCAACTATGCTGCTGTTTATTAATGATAGATTTGTATGGTCATTATAGGTAATCTTACCGTTCACCGAACCCAATTTTCTCTTTTTTACTTGAAGATTTTGGATTATTCATCGAAGGAATAAAGTCGGAACAAGAATATCAACTATGGTTGAAACCACCCTAGGGTCTCTCGCGTATCGGTTTTATAACCATAATTTATGACTCTTAGAAATCCCATCCTCTCAACGATTCACCGCCTCATCGTGGCTGGGACTGGGTGCCGGACTGCGATGTACAGCGAGGAATTCATCCCCTGGTACGGTCTCCCAAGCTGAGGAATCCAGCGTCTCCATCAGGAAGCCTAGCCAAGAGCATACCAACACCAGGACCCACTACCGTCCTGGTATCAAAGTCGCATGGCGGCAATTCTCCCTCTGATCTACAAGGGCTGAGACTGCTTGTAGTGGTGAAGACCTGGGGCAGACTTTGGCCAGGCTGACCTCGGGATTCCAGGGAACCACAATGGCTTAACAAGCAAATCTCCGAAAAATGGAGATTAGGCTGGGGCCTGCGCAACCAGTGAGGACGGGCCATTCAGGTGTCAAAGGTCAAGTATTAGTCCCATTGGTTTATTATACTATCACTTGTAGGCTGTGGGTCCTACTGGCGCTGTCCATTACCAGTACAGCGGCAATTTGACGCCGCTCTAAGCTCACTATGCGTTTGATCCCTCTGGGGTTGTGAAATCGGGACCAGACTTTTATGTGTCTATCCCACTGTTTCAATCCACGTTGGAACACTCTAGCCTGGGTACCATAGGACACCAGTGAGAATCGACTCAGCTAACACACAACGATAACTGCGAAGAAAGGAAAATCTTTAGATACCATCTAAACCCACATGCGAAAAGTTCGTTGACCTTCGTAGATGGTCGATGCGGAAAAATGAATCAAATTTAAGAAATAATGGGATCCGAACAGCAGATGTGAAGATGGATTATGTAGAAAAAACATGTCAGCTTTTAATTAAGTTGCCTTTTGGGAAAGTTTTGCATTATGCGCTGATAAGGGACGCTCAGATAAGCGGACGAAGGTAAAAGCTGATAAACAGACCAAAGATCGCGCAAGTGCCAATCAATCGATGGATGGTCGATTTTCAAGCAATATCGTTTTTTTCCACGGATCTCCCTCGTATGAGAGATCTCGAGCCGGTTAGTCGCGAGGCTACGTGGCGCGTCCCCAGGCGGCGAATATGGGGTAAATCGCGGACCAACAGCGACTTTTGCTTCCCTGACACGCAGGAGGATCCAAGGATGGACTCTCTGTTTCTACTGCGCTGATTTGGCACATACTTACTGTATTTGCTAGGCATATTCATGCATGCGTGTGTGGGTGCGTTCTTGTTTATGCGGATTGTATTCTACGAGACAGTTCGGACAAAAGCCTGCAATCAAGTGAGTGGGAAGTATATGGGAGGAGATTAGGAGTCGCCTCCAACGAATAAGCTCTATGTCCACTCTGCGAGAGCCTGGCAAGCCACCTGTAAGTATACCCAGTCCCCACGTTCGGAGCCCAGCAAGCCACACGTGGGTAACAAAATGCTAAACAAAGTAAAAAAAAACTGGCCTCATTCGCCCGACCCCGAAAGAGCCCCCAATCTCACAGCGTTGGGTAGGACGAGTACGGAGAGGCTGCTAAAATCTCAGGGTCAATGGAAGCTGCCTGGATTTCAAAGAACTATGGTGACGATCGGTTACTACAATGAACGTACACTTGCATCGGAGTCCTCGATCGAAGACTTGCTCATGCAAGCAACAAGGATAAGGTACGTCATCGGCCTAGCCGAGACGAGGAGACGCCAGCCTTTCAACGCCGTCTATGACACAGAGAAGAACTGTTCCTCGGAACATGCATCAGTAGAGGAGTCGGCGGCGTCTGCGTTCTCGTCAACACGAGTTTGTCCATGAACATCGATTCATTCGAACAACTTCCAACCTGAATTGGACGTTTACGATTAAAAAAACGCGGATCAATTTGACAATCTTCGCCGTTTACGCGCCGACGTCGTGCTGTGACAAAGAAGTAGTCGAAGCTTTCTACATGCACTTGGAGAAGCTCTACCGAGGAGACTACACATTCTTCAAGGTCATCACTGGAGGTTTCAACGCCAAGATTGGACCAAGAAGAACGTCTGAAGAATGTCACATTGGGACCCACGGATTAGAGTGGAACGTATAGGGTGACCCGCTTTCTGAGTTTATCACAACGACCAAGACCATCCATGATAACTCGCAATTCCCGAAGCCCCATCCTCAACGCTGGACGTGGGAGTCTCCCAATGGAGGGCACCATAAAGAAATAGACCATATCATAGTAGACCGAAGGTTTTGCCTCATTGATGTCGCTGTTGTCCCAAAATTCTACACAGTGTTAGACCACCGCCTCTTTCGTGCAAGATTCCATTTCTCGCAGAAAAGAGAAGAAGCCTCCAAGTTCAAAAAACCAAGTCCCAAAACCACGATAGATTGAGACTTATTCAATTCATTATTAGGCCGTTGGTAAGATGTCGTTGTCGATAACCTCGATGAAGAATACGATCGGCTTATTCAACATCTTCACGTTAGCGCTGTGAAAGCTGAGATTTCGAAACTCACCAAGAGACGTCTGTCTCCAGAAACACTCGGGCTACTACGCCACAGTGCAACCGCGAGCTAACGTCCGAACTTGCAAAACAATGCAGAGAGGCGATAAAGGAAGATCTTAGAAAGGGGCGCCCAGACGGAACAATTACAGCGTCCAAAAAGGCAATGGAGAAAATCATTCATCAATACTGTTCAGATGTCTTCGATAGCCACGTCCACCTTCCGTTATATGAAATAAAGGAGGATGCATATGTTGTCCCACCGGTTCTCCTTCCGAAATCCGACATGCCATTTCTTCGGAGAAAAATCGAACAGTACCATGTCCGGACAGGATAAGACCAGAACACCTCAATAACCGTCCGCCAGTCCTCGTAAACACACTGGCTCGGCTCTTCACACGTTACCTGTCTGAATGCAAGGTCCCTACTCAGTGGAAGAGGAACAGGACCGGGTTATTGTTCAAGAAGCGTAACCTCCACGATATCGGTAACAATCTCCCAATCTGCTTGCTGCCTGTCGTCTACAAACTTTTCACTCGAGTCATTCTAAACAGGACTGACAGAACACTAGACGAAGGACGGCCATGTGATCAAGNCAACATACCCTGCCATTAAGAAGAAAAAGGCAGTAAATAAAAGAGTTAAGATTGTGATTATAACGAGGCCTCAACTTAACTGGGTTCAATGCCGATATTGGCTCCCCAGATCAATCCCGTTGACGGGTGATTGCTGATGGCAAATAGATCGATAGAACTAGCTGAGATACATGCAAAGCGAAGGACCCGGATGGTGTAGTGGTGAAGTGCGCTGCTCCCCGGTAAGGACAACAGCGCGTGTTCGTTCCCCACTGCATACACCTGTGGTCCGGAGTTTTGCAAATATCTCAGCACTTCATACGAGTTATATTTCATAAGTCTTCTATTTGAGTGAATCACTGTCTTTATTTACACATACCTGGTTTACAATCCGATCTCAACTGTGCTAGTTTTTCGAGAACTGATGGTAATTACT